TCGCGCCCTCCTCGCCTTCGCCTCCTCCGCCGCCCCCGCCGCCCCCCCACTTCGGTTGCCACGCCGCGCTGCGGGCCGCCCTGCTGCACCCCCCTCACTCCTCCGGTCGTGCCGCCCCCTCCCCATGGCTCCTCCAGGTGTGCTGCCCCCCCTTGCCTGCAGGAGGTCAGCGCCGGCCGGCAGTCGTGCTGCTTTTTAAAAACGTGCTGAGGGGAAGCGGTTGCTTCCCCTGCACCCCACTAGCTATGCTACTGATGGGGAGCACTAGGAGCAGTCCTTAACAGTACTGATGAGGAAGTGCTGGCAAATAAAGTGAATGCAATGGGAACTAATATAAAAGATTTAACTACTACACCTACCAAGGTATCATTCAACCAATTAAGCTCTCTACAATACCAGGTGGCATGTATCCTAAAGGAGTGAGAGCAGTCCCAAGAAAAAGATCATTGTCACCTTTTGCTGGTTGTTGTCACCCTTCAAGCTAATGTTTCTTTGGCTATGGCATGTATGCAAATACAAGTGTAGATAATTGATGTGGTAAAATATATGATCCATGATGGCATAAGTGGGGTATTCCTAATAGAAATAAGAAGCATTATTTAGGAAAATTCTAAATCCAAACTGAAAGGGAGTTACAGTCCTGGTGGAAAAAGGTAAATTTCACCTATAGCAAGGAGTCAGAAGAAATCAGTCTTTGTTTTGCTCATGTCAGAGGTAAAAATAACATGAGTCTCCCCATTACAGCTTTAGGCCTCAATATTAATCAGACTGTGATGGAGCCCATAAATCATAGAATGTGGGTTGTAAAAGATAACCAGAAATGGAAAACAGTGGAATTAGAATTGTTTAGAGGAATCTGGAATTGGATATGAATGTAACTGAAATGCCCTCCACTCATAGGATGTGTGTTTGGAAACAACGAAAGGGAAATACCATTATCTATTCACCCATTTGCAAATAATGACTCTATGCTTGTGTATATAGGTGATCACTGCATGTGTCTTAAAAGCTGTTGTCCTAAGCGTCTTGTAAACTACATGAAAAAGTAGCTCATGATCCTCTTGAGAATAAATGTTTTTGTTCTGCTGTAGCAATTCAGGCATGCGACCTTGAATTTAAAGTGCCTGAACTTAAAATATAATCAGTTAAAAGTGACATAGACTTTGTACTCTGCTTTAAAACCAGTACCCCTTGGAATGGATTTAAAAGTTCTACAAATGTTGCTTTGTAGATTTGCAGAATTTTTTAAATTTTGGCACACAGCAGCTGGTTGCCACAGGGTCACATAATCTTTAAAAGCCTAGAGAAAAAGCTAATGAATGGGGCCGTACTTTATTACAGAATCTGGCCTCTGGGTTCAGCCATCTAGGAGTTAGTCTGTCTCTAATATGAGCCATCTCCACCAACAGTACTTAGATCTTATTTCGAGCTTGTATGAGATTTTTCATAGACTCTGCCCTCAGCTATTCCCCACTCTGCTTTCCTTCTCCCCCTCTGCTCCACCCTTTGCTGCTTCCCTTCTCACCTTTACTTCCTCCACTCCTTGTCTCCCTACCAGGGGGAGCCCGACAAGGGGAGGGGGGCCATGCTACTTTCCCAAGCCAGGGTGAGGAGCTCCCCACTGCTGTTAGCAGGAGAGGGGGGGCTGTATTCCCTGCCCCCTCAGGGCCTTAATTACCCCCCGTGCCCTCCCGTTCCTTCCCGCTCCGGACAACTCTGCTGCTACCTGCTAATCCGCCTTTCTACCCCCCTTTGAAACGCTCCTCCCCTCCCTAGCCAGCGTCCCTCACTGCGCACGCGCTCTTAGTCCCACCCCGCTAGCGAGTTCTCCTCCTTCCTGCCAGTTCTAGCCCCTCCCTTTAGAATCCCCTGTCGTTCCATTCCCCCTGCTGAGACACATCGCGCCTGCGCACCTGTCCTCCTTCACTTCTTCCTAGCCCCTCCCTCTGGCAACTCTTCTCTGCCCCACCCCTTAGCGTCTATGCAATACGCCTGCGCTCCCCTCCCAGAGCCGGCCCTTCGCCCCGTCCCCGAGCTACTACGCGTGCGCTAAACCCCGCGGCTTCTCGTTTTGTCCCGAAATTTCGCGAAGGTTTCCGAAGGCTCCGCTCGGCTTTTTCCGGAGAGACTCGAGAGTGAGGCGGAGGCCTCGTCTCTGCCCCGCCGCTTCCTGTCTCCCGGCTCGTTGCTGTTGCCGGCTCCGGTAACCGGCGCTTCAGCTCTGCCCGCCATGTCCCAGCTCTGCTACAACCGGGGCTGCGGCCAGCGCTTCGACCCCAGCACCAACACGGAGGGTACGAGCCGGGGCGGAGGGGGCTGCGAGGCGTCCCCCGGCCGCTGTGTACCTGGGGGCTCCTGGCGTGAGGTCTTAAAGGGGTGCCGGGGTGGCCGCGTCCCATTGGGTTACGGGAGGTGATGGAAGGGGGCTGGCCAGGGGAGCTGGGGCTGGGGGGGGAGAGTAGGGGCTGCGCTGTTTTTTGGGGGGAGCCTGGAGAGGAGCAGGGGCTGTGTTGTTTTTCGGGGGGGAGCGGGGGGAGCTGGGGCTGTGTTGTTTTTTGTGGGGGAGCGGGGGGGAGCAGGGGCTGTGTTGTTTTTTGGGGGGGAGTGGGGGGGCTGTGCTGATAGGGGAGGCTGGTCGAGGGGAGCCTGTTAAGTGGGGTGTTGTATTTATTGGGGGGAGCCTGGTAAGCAGGGGGGGAGAGAGATGCTGATATTGGGAACTTGGCGGGTGGGACAGACAAATAACACAAGTATATAGGAACAAAGTTAGAAAGGCTAAGGCACAAAACAAGATTAAACTAGCTAGATACATAAAGGGTAACAAGAACACAATCGACAAATACATTAAGAGCAAGAGGAAGACCAGGGACAGGCCATTACTTAATAACCGGGGGAAAACAATAACAGAAAATGTGGAAATGGCAGAAGTTCTAAATGACCTTTTTGTTTCAGTTTTCATCAAAAAAGTCTAATAGCGATTGGCTGTCTAAAATAGTGAATTCCAGTGAAAATGAGGTAGAATTGGAGGCTAAAATAGGAAAAGAACAAGTTAAAAATTACTTAAATAAGTTAATGTATTCAAGTCACCAGGGCTTGATTAAATGCATCCTAGAATACTCAAGGAGCTGACTGAGGAGGTATCTGAGCTATTAGCGATTTATCTTAAAAAAGTTATGGACAACAGGAGAGATTCCAGAAGACTGGAAAGGGGTGAATATAGTGCCCAGCTATAAAAAGGGAAATAAGGACAACCCAGGTAATAACAGGCCAGTCAGCTTAACTTCAGTAACCAGAAAATACGGTAGCAAATAATTAAGCAATCAAACACCTAGACACATGGAAAGTGATAAGTAACAGTCAGCATGGATTTGTCAAGAATAAATCATGTCAAACCAACCTAATAGCCTTTGACATTGTAACAAGCCTTGTGGAGGGGAGGAACCGGGGGGGGGAGTAGTTGATACCGTCTCTCGTGACTATCTCATAAACAAATTAGGGAAATACAGACTAGATGGTGCTACTATTAGGTGGGTATATAACTAGGTGGAAAACCATTCCCAGAGAGTAATCATCAGTGGTTCACAGTCAAGCTGGAAAGGCATATTAAGTGGGGTACCACAGAGATCCGTTCTGGTCAATATCTTCATCAATGATTTAGGGCTGGTGTCATTCAGACATGCGAAAAAGACATCCCCCAAGTGAGGTAAGTTACATCGATCTAAGCGCTGTCCACACCAACGCTATGTCAGCGTAAGACGCTGTCCCACCAACATAGTTTCTGCCTCTCGCAGCGGCAGAGTAATTAATCCGATTGGAGAGCACTCTCCCGTTGGCATAGCACGACTTTACGAGACATGCTACAGCGGTGCAGCTGCATCAGTGCAGCTGTGCTGATGTAGCGCTGTGGTGTAGACTTGCCATTAGATAATGGCATTAAAAGTACATTTATAAAGTTTGTGGACGATACCAAGCTGGGAGAGGGTTGCAAGTGTTTTGGAGGATAGGCTTATAAGTCAAAATGATGGACAAACTGGTGAAATGGTCTGAAGAAAATAGGATGAAATTCAGTGAGAATAAATGCAAAAATACTCCACTTAGGAAGGAACAATCAGTTGCACACATACAAAATGCGAAATGACTGTGTGGGAAGGAGTACTGTAGAAAGGGATCTTGGGGTCACAGTGGATCACAAGCTAAATATCAGTGAAGAGTGTAACACGGCTGCAAAAAAAAGCAAACATCATTCTAGGATGTATTAGCAGGAGTGGTGTAAGACATGAGAAATAATTCGTCCTCTCTACTCCGTGCTGATTAGGCCTCAACTGGAGTATTGTGTCCAGTTCTGGGCTATACATTTCAGGAAAGATGTGGACAAATTGGAGAAAGTCCAGAGGAGAGCAACAAAAATGATTAAAGGTCTAGAAAACATGACCTGTGAGGAAAGATTGAAAAAATTGGGTTTGTTTAGTCTGGAGAAGACAAGACTGAGGGGGGACATAACAGTTTTCAAGTACAGTAACTCCTCACTTAACATTGTAGTTATGTTCCTGAAAAATGCAACTTTAAGTGAAACGATGTTAAATTAATCCAATTTTCCCAAAAGATTTAATGTAAATGCTGGGGGTTAGGTTCCAAGGAAATTATTTTGGGGCAGACAAAAGGTATTATATCCTGTACAGTACTGTACTGTGGTTTGGAAGTGCCCCTGTCTTACCTCACACAGAGGCAGCCCGCTAAAGGCAAGGACCCTAGGAAGCACCTTCGCAGCAGCGGCGCCGGCTTCCCCCAGCAAAGTCGGCAACTGTTCTTCTCTGGGGATGCTCCAAGCCCTCCTCTTCCTGTTCCCGCTCCACTCCAGGCCCACCTCTTCCCACCCCCACTCCATCTCCTCTCCTGAGCAGCCGCATCCTCGCTCCCCTCCCACCCCCCAAAGACCTAAGCTGTTTGGCAGTGGGGGAAGCACTGGGAGAGAGGGGAAGAAGAGGAACTTGTGCAATGCTCCCTTATAAAGTCGCTGCTCTTCCACAGAAGCTTACAAACGTTATAAGGGAGCATTGCACAAGTTTAAACGAGTATGTTCCCTAATTGAGACATAACTTTGAAACAACATTAAGCGGGAGGACTTTAAGTGAGGAGTTACTGTACATAAAAGGTTGTTACAAGAAGTTGGGAGAAAAATTGTTTTCCTTAACTTCTGGGGATAGGACAAGGAGCAATGACAGATTTAGGTTGGACATTAGGAAAAACTTCCTAACTGTCAGGGTGGTTAAACACTGGAATAAATTGTCCAGAGAGGTTGTGTATCTCCATCATTGGAGATTTTTAAGAGCAGGTTAGACAAGCACTTATCAGGGATGGTGTAGATGATACTTAGCCCTGCCATGACTGCAGGGGACTGGAGTGGATGACTTCTCAAGGTCCCCTCCAGTCCTATAATTCTAAGGTGGGGGCTCACCCATCTTGTTTCTCTCATATAACTAGGACTGACTGGGCTACAACAACAGTGCATAATTGCAGTGTAGACATACCCACAGGTAACAAGTGGTCAGCCGGTTCTGCACATGGCCTGATTATATCCTTGTGTCTCTTTCACCAGTGATGTCCTGAGTTGGAACAAAGCAAAGAATACATGCTGGCTGTAGCTAGTTCATGGGATATGGAGCCTTTGGCTTCTAGGACACAGACTTGGATCTGGTTCTGTTTGTCCATTTTAGAGTTTGTGCAGTGAGGGAAACTGATGCTTTATCCTATGATTAAGGTTAAGATTTTGTCTATTATTTTTAGAAAAAGTCATGGACAGTCGCAGGCAATAAACAAAAATTCACGGAAGCTGTGACTTTTACTAAAAATAACGGGAGGGCTGACTGCTGGGCAGGACTGACAGACTGAACCCTGCCGAGGAGGGAGGGGAATCCAGCCCCCGGCAGCTGACCGTTGTGGGAGCCCTGGCTTATAGATTGTGATCATGCCACCTCTTAACTTTCTCTTTGTTAAGCTAAACAGATGGAGTTCATTGAGTCTTTGGCTATAAGGCATGCTTTGCAATCCTTTAATCAAGTTTGTGAACACCAAATAAGATTTAAGGCAGTGTGGAACCTTAGGTCCCTTAGGCTTAGGAGGATTGAATCCATCTCCCAAACAACTGTAAATAGTCATGTTGAGTGTTGCAAAATTGAGTTGAGAATCAGTACCCTTGGACCAGGCTGACATTTGTCTCCCTTTCTACTGGGATACCAGTTAAGGTTAGCTCTATATGAGTGCTGATCATGGTCCCCAAAAGATCCCCTAATAAATGTAGTAAAGGTAATTTTATTTATGTGCTTATATTGTGGCGTATATGGCCAAAAAAAGAAGTTTCTACCTTAAGGAACTTAGTCTAAATAGGCTATATATGGCTCCATATATACTCTGGATGCTTGTTCTGTCAAGTCTGAATTTGCTCTCCTGGGGAGTTTTCTTCAGTTTAAAAGAGTAATGGGAAAGGGGTGGAAGGTGGAGCTCATGTGCAATGCGAGATTCAAATGTGTGGAGTTCTGGCCCTAATTGTGTTTAGTTTAATAGTTGCAGGGTTTTTTGGTTAATTTAATTTGCATTTTCAATTAGTACGGCATTTTTCTTTTCTTTCAGATTCATGCACATATCATCCAGGTGTTCCAGTCTTTCATGATGCTCTAAAGGTGGGTATGCCAGTGTATAGGTAGTGAAAGGTTCTTTAAATCCTTAGATAGTGTGTCTTTGTATCAGTAGTGCTGTGCTCCAACTCAGTCAATGATGTAGCAAATGTCCTTTCTCTGGAATTCAATCAACCCCCCCCAAAATGGCATTTATCTAAAGTTGAAAAAGAAACTGAATATTGGCTAGACTCAAGCAATAAGTAACAGGTACATTGTTTGACCACTCACTGCAGCAGGTGATTATTATTTTTCTATTATTAATCTCAAACTGAGCATGTTTTTTAAGCATTACATATCCTATATCATTTTGTGACAAATGTATTGCCTTACCACAGCCATGTAAAAAGCACTGCATGTAGAACTGTTTTTGATTATAGACATTTTAGAATTTCAGTACACATAATTAAAAATTTGTTATTCTTTGTATTCTTTTTGCATTTTAAAGAAAATTATGTCTCTCAAAAACTGACTAATACACTTTGGAAAGGTTAGACTTTTTCCTCAGTAGTCTCTTGTTTATATCAGCAGTTCTTAAACTGAGATCTGTGGATCATTGGTGGTCCAGGAAGCATTTGTTGATGGCCTGCAGGGACCAGGCTGGTCATATGTTGTTGATTCTCCTCAATTTTGGAAGTTGTTTCATTAAGACAGCAAAAATATATTAAATACTTGTATTTGTCCAGGTAAGCAATTAGTGTAGTCGCCATGGAGATACTGTATGGAAAAATCTGAGAATTCTTGGCTTGTATAAAGGCTAAGGTCTTATTAAGAAATTCTGCCTATCTGACTCTAAATTAAGTTAATGTGAAGTTTGGAAGAGGCAAAATGATAGCTTTAAAATATTGACTGCAAGAAATAAGGAATGGAAAAAAAAACCCATAAGAAGAACATCTCAAACCTGTAAGATTCGTGAATTTGTGAATGATTATACAGTGTGGGAGAGGACTTGAAAAGAGGCTGTCTGGCATCAGCTTGCTATAAGGAAGAGGTGAGAAGCAATAGTTAGTCCCATGAGGAGAAGCCAGAAGGTGGAGGAGTGGAATTTCCTCAAAACCTTCCTCTTTTTCAATTTTGTGATGAGGCACCATCAGAAATGGCCGTGATTGAGAGGAGAGATGTGCCCAAGATAACTATTCCTTGGTAATGATAGGAGTGAGCAGCACAGCTTACTAGCTGGCTATGAATAGCTATTGAAAAATTGATTGGCTGAAGCTGAATACCAGAATTTTAGACAGAAATAATATCCAGAATATTTACTAACGGACAACTTATCCTAAATTCTCAATTAGTGAGGGTCAATCTACACTCATTGCCATATTTGCTTTCCACAAGCTACTCTTAGTATAACTCTTTACGAGTGATGTACCCAAATATTTGGATGCTAATATTTTAACTGTATCGCTAAATGTATTAACCTCTATTTGGGATATTGCAGAATATGTACTATATCTATATATCTATATATATAATGATTTTTAAACCAAACTTTGTACTTTTGGATAATTTAGGCATTATAGATGTATAGACACTCTTTCTTTAACCTGTGTATTAGATAATTTTAACATTAGCTTTAATAAAAATTTTAAATCAGCACTTGTTACACAAAAAATACACATTCTACCTCCCTTTTTTCTTCTCCCCTCATTTCCTGGTCTCACTAAAAATTTATAGTGAGCCCCATTGGGTATAATTTTCCTTCTAATATGTGTCCTAAATAACCTAAGCAATAAATGCTGTCTTGCTGTTCACAATATATTGCCTGTGTAAAGGATGAATGTTTAGAGGAAACAGGGAGCATTATTTTGCAGTAGTTCAAAGAAAGAAAGTGTCTCCCATCGTCATGTCTCTTAATCTGCTGCAGAAATACATTGTTAGTCAAAGTATCTTTTGTAATACCAAATTAAAGGTTCTCTGAGTTTCCAGATAAGTTGTTTTGTGTAGTGCAGTAAGATCTGTTTCTCTAGCATCAGGACTGTCTCATCTGATATAATAAATGTTGGTTTTGAGTTGACCTAATTTGAGCAGATGACTGTCTAAATCAAAGATGACACTAGAGAAGGGGGAATGAAAGAGGCTGACATAAAATAGGTAGAAGTCTTTACATTTTCAAAAATACAGAGATGATCAGCAGTGTTCAAGGGAGAAGAGAGTGTTAAGACGGGTTCTCAAACTGGGGTTTGGGACCCCTCTAGGGGTTGAGAGGTTATTAAATGGGGGGGGGGGGTCGCGAACTGTCATCCTTCCCCCCCCCCCCCCCAAACCCTGCTTCAACTCCAACATTTATAGTGGTGTTAAATATATAAAAATGTGTTTTTAATTTATAAGGGGGGTTGCACTCAGAGGCTTGCTATGTGAAAGGGGTCACCAGTACAAAAGTTTGATAACCACTGTGTTAAGACTATAAAGCAACATATGCTGGAAAGAATTATCACTAACCTTTTGCTTCTAATAAACTGTTACTAATAAGCTGTGTTTGCATTTCTCTCATTATTTTATTCCAAATTTTATAGGGCTGGTCATGTTGTAAGAGAAGAACAACAGACTTCTCTGACTTCTTAAGCATTGTGGTATGTATTGGTGATTTTTTTATTTTATTTTAAATATTATTGCAGTTTATACAGCTTATCTGTTATGCTATCAAAAATGTTTGGTATCAAAAATCATAGAATTAGATGTTACATTAAGCAAATTTTTAAATGGATATATCTTGTTTAAACCAAAATTATTTTGAATCAGAGTGAAGCAAGGCACTCTTTCTCCTTGTGGACTACTTAGATGTTAAGTTTCAATTTCTGAAATTTCGAAATTTATTAATTGGTTCTGTCAAAATGCGTTTATAATATTATAAAAATATGAGGCCAGGAGAAGAAAGGAGGGTGTTTTTACACTCATTTGTCTAAATCAGAGGTTCTCAAACTGTGGTCCACAGACCACCAATGGTCCACGAACTCCATTCAGGTGGTCTATGGATAGTTCCCGCTAAGGTGCACACCTGGGTGGCCCCGCACAAGAGAATGAAGGGCCACCCATCTAATTAGTGGAGCCGTGCAGGGTGAGAAGGGGTGGGGTGAATTTGGGATGTTCAGGGCTGCGTCGGCCAGAGAAAGAGGTGACTTTCCCCAGCTCCAGGGCTGCGGCTTCTGGGGAGAGACAGCCCTCCTTCTCAGCCCCAGCTCAGGGGCTGCCATGGCGGGGGAGAGAGGGAGAGACCCCCCACCTTCCCAGCCCCAGCTCGGGGGCTGCTGCAGTGGGGGAGAGAGGGAGAACCCCCCCTCCTTCCTAGCCCCAGCTTGGGGGCTGCCGCGGCGGGGGAGAGAGCACATCTGTTGCATTAGAAAGGTAAGACTGCTGATATTAAAAAATGAGTTGTGTGCTTTTATCTGTAGAACAAAAAAAGTGTTTGTTTGTTTGTTTGTTTTTGTTTTGGTTTGGGTTTTTTTTAAAATGGTGCTTTTATAAGGCGCTTTACAATAGTTAGCCAACGGTGCAAACAACATTTGGAAAGATCATTAAGTCGTCTGTCAAGACCCTCAGCGATTTTCAAGTGGTCTGCGGGGAAAAAAAAAGTTTGAGAACCACTGGTCTAAATCATAAACAACTAAAGAGATTTTGCTCAAAACTTTAAAAAAAAAAAAAAAAAAAAAAAGACCTCTTAACAAGTGTAGAACGCTTCATATAAGTGTTCCAGAAAGTTTGTTTATATATCTGAAAACCAGGAGATGCGGATGTCAATTAAACCATTTTTCAACTTTAGTTATAGCATTTGTTACAAAGCAGCCACTAGAACTAGAGCGAAGGATGAGGGTGAAAAATCAAATTGCATTAGTTCATTAAACTTGGATAATAGTTTGGTTTTGGACTTTGCACATGAAGTAGGTTTTTTTTGTTTGTGTTGTTTTGTTTCACATATGTTTCTATGTCATCTACAACAGGGCTGTACAAAGGGTCTCCATAATAGTGAGAAACCCCCTGAGCCTGTGAAACCTGAAGTCAAAACTACCTCTGAGCGAAAGGAGCTAGCTGAACTGAAACCTAAATTTCAGGAGCATATAATTCGGGCACCAAAGCCAGTGGAAACCATTAATAGGCCAAGGTACGGTATATTGAACTGGCATTTGTGCCAAATTTGTTTCCAATGGCTAACTTAGAACTTGTTTTGGTTATTGCCATTGATTTTATTTGGAAGGTACTATGGTGACAAGCAGCAGCATTAAATCTTAAAATAGATATCCTAACCCTTCATTATATATTACATAATTTTCAAGTGGACATTAATTTATTAAGTCAGACATTTTTTCAAACCTTGCAATGACAATATTTAAATTACAGCTTTTAGTTTTATATGGCGTCTCTTATATTAATTCAAAATATTTTAGTTACATGCTGTGGAAGCATAGGCAAATGAAATGACCATTGTGTACGTGAGAATAGCTTGTACACTGTTTTTAGATGTCTTGGTAGGATAATTGGCAACAATATTGAAGTTATTTCTAATTTTGATCTGGACTTGCCTGAAATATGGACATAAAGGGCCCTTGGTTAACATCTCTTCTGAAGGACAGAAACATAGTACAGAACCCCTCAGTGTTGTCATTGTATAGGAACCAAAGTTCTAGTGTGGAACTTTGTGGTCAAGAGTACTGATAACTGAGCTATATTGACATTGTATATTCCAGTAAGAATATCACTATTTCTATTTATTTCTTAACTTCGTAATCAGACCTTAACACACACAATGAGAAATTAAACACATACGTTAGTTAAATTTGTCAATTTAGTATTCTGCCACAAGAAGTAAAGCCACTCTATCGAATCAAATAATGTGACTTTTATCTAAATCACTCTTAACTTCCACCTCAGGTTCCTGAATGCCTGTGATTCAAATATGGGCTGTGTCTACTCTTGGGTTTCAACTGTTCTGTTCTAAGATACCTCCTTATAGATAAGGTGACAGATAATACAAATAATAATAAATGTTGTCATAGTGCCTAGGAGCCATAGAGAAGGAACAAAACCCCATTGTGCTAGGTGCTGTACAAACACAGAACAAAAAGACAGACCCTGCTCCAAAGATCTTACAACCTAAGTGTAAGACAAGACTATATAGGAATACAACCAGATAGGGAAGTACAAGGAAACTGAGATAATGTGTTAGCATAAGCAGTGATCTCAGCACACTAGTGGCTTAACTGTTGTCAAGTTTTTGTAGGCATTATGGCAAAGGAGAGTTTTAAGGAGTCTAATGAAGTAGCTCTGCAGATGTTTACAGGGAATTGCTCAAGCATGAGGGACAGCATGGGAGAAAGCATGAAGGTTTTTGTTTGAAAATTTTCAAAGTCTGCTAATGGAGGATGGCCTCATGCCCCTGTTGGAGGCAGGAGTCAACATCTCATTATTGAATGAGAGAATGGGGAGAGGTCATGAAGGGCCTTGAAAATGAAGACATGCAGCTTTTGTTTGATACGATAAAGAAGGGGGAGCCAGTGGAGAGATTCAAAGAGGGAGTGACATGGCCAAAGCGATGGGCTGGGTAAATGATCTTTGTAGTAGTGTTCTGAAAACATCTTTTAGGGTACAGCTGCTGTGTGATCTTCTGAGTGTAGCCCTGGCTAGGGTGACCAGATGTGAAGAAGAAAATATCGGGACACCGGGTGGGGGGGACAAAAAAAAAAAAGCGGAGTGATCCTGGCAGTGTAAAATATCAGGACAAAAATTGCATCCCGACCAGGGATCGGTCGGGACGTGGGACAAACAGCTCAAAATCGGGACGGTCCCGATTTTATCGGGACGTCTGGTCACCCTAGCCCTGACTCTAATAAAACACCAAGATTGGGAATCTGAGTCACATGTAGTAGCTGAAGTCCCTCAACCTAGAGTACAGATATTGCCTTTGACAACTCTTCTAGTTGATTTTCCCAACCCACTAACATTAATTTGGTCTTGACTGAATTAAGACTCAGCCAGCTTGCCATCATCAATTGTACTATTTCATAATGAGACTTCATTCTCTTCCCTGGAATTATCTTGCGGGGAAGGTATTTTGTAGTGGCTGATTGAGATGGCTTTTTTTTTCTATGTCATGTCAGAGTGATGGTGAAGAGTATTCTAATCTTGTCACAGCAGAGGTTTGAAAGATATCCCTTGTCATATTACATAATTTATTTTGACCAAGATAACATGAATATATTTAAATATTTTAGCCCAGATGAGCCAATGACAAGTTTACAGCTGAAAGTATCAGCTTCCCTGAAACAAGCACTAGATAAACTGAAACTATCATCAGAGAATGAAGAAGAAAAAAAAGGTAAGAACCTGTACCAACAAAATGACATGCCAAAGACCCACTTGTTGCCATTAGATAAATGGTAGAATGTCTCACATGCAAGTGTTTCAGAATTAATGACTTTACAAAGGTATTCAAGAACCACATTTTCCAGCAAATTAGTTCCACAGAAGGCAGCAATTAAATTGAAACGGACATCAGGAGAGAAACATGTTTCCTTACGCAGTTTATTCAAACCGTCAATGGTGTGTATTGTATACACCTTACTTCTTACTTCAGGAAGTTAGATATTTGTTTTCCCTGGCATATTTTTCCAAACAGTTTAAATGGAAAAACTGTTTTCACTTGGAACAATAGACATTCCAGGTAATTGAAAATAGATTGACCCAGATGATCAAGATTGGATGTCTTTCTAAATGATATTTTCTAGGAGTCGTTTTGGGGGAGTTCTATGGCTCTATGTTTTAGAGGAGTTCAGATTAGATGGTCAATGCTCCCTTCTGGCCTTGGAATCTAGGAATTAAAATTGTATGGTCTCTTTGTAGGTGTTCCCATATTGTTTACTCCGAACTAAAGCCCTCTTTCCAAGGGAAATGGCCCTGCCTTTCTAAAAAAAAAAAATTCATAGAAGTTCTAGTTGTCGAGATAACATCTACTAGGACTGCTATTTTGGCTGTTTTAAAAATCTGTCACAATTAAATCATTGCATAATAACTCCAAAGAGGATGTATGCGATATATAATGTAAAGAAGAAAGTCCTTTAATTTATCAACAAAACTATTAATTTAAATACTGGAGAGTTTTAAACTCTGGGATAGCCCAGTATCAAGTAATTATATTTCTAATATGGTAGCACTCTAGACAACATAGTCACAGTTTTCAGAAAGAGGAGTTCATATTAAGGCACCCCCCCCCCCAAAGTGCTGAGCAGTCATCAACTCCCAATAACCTCCAGAACTGCTTGTGTAATTCCTCCCTGAACATTCCAGCATGCAAGGCGAGTGCACCCTCTTCTGTGCTCCCTTATGTGGTGCACAATGCTTCCCTCAGCACACCAGCTCAGTGTGCAGATACAGAAGTGTATTGGGGTCATGGTCCTGTCTGATCTCTGATCGCATTAGGGAACATATAGGAAGTAGTTTCTGTATGTATTTCTGACAGGCCTTTGTGTAGGGTGCAGAAAATGAGGGATGTTCCTTGTACTCTTTAACCTATCACCTATGGACATATGGAAGGGTCTGTCCGAATCTAGACTTTAACTTTAAGTAAACTAAATATTTGATATTTATAAAGTGGCATTTTTATATTTATAGTAAGGATATGTATATGCCTTAATTTTGCAGAAGAGGACAGTGATGAGATCAAAATTGGGACGTCATGTAAAAATGGAGGCTGTTTGAAGGTAAATAGTTGTTATATTCCTTCTGTTTACGGTATACCTATAGAATCCTAAGAACATGAACAAATCAGTATTTTAAAACACATTACAAAGTAATTAAGAGTCCAAACAAGGTCTACAAGTCTGAATAAATAGATACATCTTTCAACATATTCAAAAGGTCAAAATGTAGGTTCTTTTGGACCAATGAGTTAGTAATCTCAAGAGTTGAGGCCCATCACTGAGGTTTCTGGGCCCCAAATTAAAAAACGTAGGAGTTTGTCAGTCTGAGCATCTCTGATGCAGCAGTCCAGCAGTTAAAAATTAGGTGGAGTGAGGTGGTACCAAACTATGAAAGACTTTATTGATAAATATTTCAAATTTCTCCTGGCAACTAGTGAAGTTCTGCAGTCTATGCAGTACCTACTAATCGAACAATCTTTGCTACCTACCTGAAGAACACTGAGTAAGGAAGCAACTACATTTTACACTTCAACCATAAAACCATTCTTCCAGTACCATCTAAATTGTCTCAGGACATATCTACACTGCAATTAAAAACCTGTGCCTGTCCTATGCCAACTGACTTGGACTCAGGCTTAGGGGCAGTTAAACTGCAGTAAAGACATTTGGGCTTGGGCTGGAACCCGGCCTCTAGGACTCTGTGAGGTCCCAGAGTTCAGGATGCAGTCTGAGAAAGAATGTCTACACTGTAATTAAACAGCCCCTTCGCCTGAATCCCATGAGCCCAATTCAGCTGGCGGGGCCAGCTGAGGGGTCTTTAATTGCAGCAAGAAGCAACAGAGGGTCCTGTGGCACCTTTGAGACTAACAGAAGTACTGGGAGCATAAGCTTTCGTGGGTAAGAACCTCACTTCTTCAGATGCATCTGAAGAAGTGAGGTTCT